ATAGGATAAGTAGGGTTGGGGCAGACCACTCAAAAGTTGTGGAACCCTGGAACCACTACACTGATAAAAGCAGTAACAATTATAATAACATAATAGCATTTTAAATTTCCACTCGCATCTGTGCCTCCACAGGTTTTTGACCTGTTGTTTCCTCCTGAGGCCTTGAAGATACTCACTTCATATAGATACTAACTTCATCAAAATTAAAAATTTGATGTGTGTGGTATAAGCTTCAGCTGTAAAAAAAGATATTTTTTAAAGCACGGAGGAAAAAACACATACTCCACCTCACCAGAAATGCTACAAAGTGGGAAGCATGGTGGTTCCCAAAGCCACTGAGCCAGCACTGCCGGCATTAAAGGAAGGTACTGAAGTAGGATACTTTGCTTTCTTCTTGAGGTCTTCATATATTGTTAAGGTTTTCTTTCTAATGATGAGAAAGTTTCCTTCTCGTCACTTCAAACATTAACTTGCTAGGGAAGATCTTGTACTAATCAACATGATTTCTATGTTATATAGATACCATTTCCCTATTTGCGAAGTGCATTTTGTCTCAGTTACGTTAGAGAAATATGCTTTGTAGCAAAAAAGACTGTGCTAAGAGACTGCTTTGATGTGAGAACCATATCTTTTGTCTCTTTTTAGAAAAGGTAATATTTTAATCAATAAGATTTTATCAGTGGTTGAGAAGGCCAAATATTTGATTCAGTCCTTGCCTCAAGACTGAATTCTAATCAGCCTTTTTGTAACCCAAAGACCTTCTCAGTTGTAAACTAAACACTTGCCTCTTCTAACCCTACAAATTCATCCCTGACTGCTGGACTCCTTTTATTCCTGATTATAAATGGATCAGTTATTTTGTGAATTCATCCGTTTTGAGTGTAAATTTTCATACACAGTCAACAGTAACCACTATGGTAATATTCAGTTGTTGTTGTTGTTATTAAGTGCCATCGAGTCGGTTCCGACCCATAGCGACCCAGTACAGGGTTTCCGAGGGTGTAAATCTTTACGGGAGTAGAAAGCCTCATCTTTCTCCCGCGGAGCGGCTGGTAGTTTCGAACCGCTGACCTTAAGGTTCGCAGCCCGATTCGTAACCACTGTACTCCTACAAAATACACAAAACCAAACCAAATTCACTGCCATCAGATCTATTCCCATTCAATATCCCTGACTCATAGTAATCCTATATAGGGTTTCAAGACTTTGTACCTTTACTGGAACAGAAAGCCTCATTTTTCTCCCATGGAGCAACTGGTGATTTGAACTACTGACTTTGCAATTGGCAATGCAATGCTTAGTTCATAGTACCACCAACTCCTGAGATAGATGAGAATACTTCAGAAAGTTTGTGGACAGATGGAATTGCTTCATCCACTGTTTGATGCCCCCTTGTATTAATTACCCACCTTCTGAGACATTGTAGGGGATCGTTACACCAGCCTTGTAACACTGTGGACTGTGAGTTGCTGTCCTTTTAATCTCCAGTAGATGTTTCCTTGCTCCTGCTACTTGTTCACTTGACTCCTAAGCCTCTGCTCTGTGTTTTCTGCATTTTGAGGGCTTTGGGTTTTTGTTTTGTTTTGTTTTGGATAAACTGTTTCTGGGTTCCACCTGTGTCAGGCCAAGATAGGGCAGATTATGCTGTAGCAGTGAACAACTAAAATTCTCAATGACTAAAAACAAGCACTACCAAAGTTTCTTTCTTAATCACACTATGTGTGTGAACCCTGCAGGTCATCTTAGTCCCTTGGGAACCCAGGCTGGTAGCAGGTATCATCTTGAAGATGACTGGTCCCTGTGCCATAGGAAAAGAGGGTCTTATGTTAGTTAGTAAATGCGCTGGCCCGAAGTAGTCACCGGGTCCCACCCAACTACAGAGGGGAAGGCTGGGTTTCAAAAGCACAGTTCCACCATGTGCCAACAAGGCAGAAAGCCAGAAATGTTTGGAGCACATTAATGACTGCCACTGAGGTTTTCCCTGTAAACGCAGCCCATTGTATTTTTCCTTTGACTTTCTGATTTTTAACTCCTAGCTTTTGCTAGTTAATTGAATGTTACAGTCTTGCTTCTCTTACTTAATTTGAGATAATTAATGTAAGTTTATTTAGCAGTGTTTAAAACAGGATTCCTGACCAGGCACCGTAGGATCAGACCTGGACTGCAAACCATAGAGTCGATAGTTCAAACCCACTAACTGCTCCTTGGAAACCCTATGTGCTGCATATAGTGTTACTGTGAGTCAAAACCAACTTGATGGCACTTAACAACAACAAAATAATTTGTATTATTTCCATGGGTCAGAAGTTTTGTTGTTGTTGTTAAGTGCTGTGGAGTTGGTTCTGACGCATAGTGACCTTGTGTGAGGTTTCCAAGGAGTGGCTAGTGAGTTTGTACCACTGACCTTGTATTTAAAATCAGCCTTGCGGTTCAGTGTTTGTCTCACAATGATACACCAGGACTCCTCAGAAGTTTTAGCATATGTAAAATAAAGCTATTAGGATTTTCTTACTTAAAATATTGTTGTTGTTAAGTACCGTGGAGTCAGTTCTGACTCATAGCGGCCCTACACAAGGTTTCCGAGGCTGTAAATCTTTATGGGAACAGAAAGCCTCATCTTTCTCCCACGGAACGCCTGGTAGTTTCGAACTGCCGACATTGAGGTTAGCAGCCCAATTTGTAACCATTACTCTACCAAAGCTCCTTAAAATACTAGGTATAAAACTATTTCCATAGTGCATTATGATAGGAAGTTACAGGAATCATTGAGTTTAATTATTTTGGGGTGTCATTTGTCTTAGTAAAAATAGAAATATTGCAAGCTTTGGAATCAGGCCTGGGGTCAAACACTTCATTTGCCCTTTACTAGATATGTGATCCTAGACAAATATTATTTAGTCTCACTGAGCCATAATTTCCTCCTTTATAATATAAAATAGCATAATCATATCTAGTCACCAAGTAAAAGTGGAGGCATTTAACATCACTACTTTGCAAAATTCTACCAAAATGAAAATAAAATAATTTTTGAATAGAATAAATTCTTAAGTTGTGCCAGACTGCATTAGCCATTTGAACTGCAAGGTTGGTGGTTCAAGCTCACCAGCTGCTCCTTGGAAACCCTATACAGGGTCACTATGGGTCAGAACCAACTCCACGGCACTTAACAGCAACAACAACACTTTATAAAATTCCATCAAAATGAAAGTAAAATAATTTTTGAGTAGCATAAATTCATAAGAACTTTGAAATGGAAGAGAAAACGGTAACACAGGAATGACAGAATTATCAGCTGTGAATTATTGTTAAGTACTGTGGAGTTGGTTCTGACTCATAGTTACCCTGTATTGGTTTCTAAGGCTGTAAATCTTTAAATCTTTCCCTCTCTGCTGGGCTCAGACTGCTGACGTTGTGATTTGCAGTCCAATGCTCATCCTCTGGAGCCACTGCGATCGCATGAACTATCCGTAGTCATATTGCTCCCAGTATAGCTGTATCACAACTTTTTATTAATACTGCTTATAATGTCAGTCTTATGTAGTCATAATAATATAAGCAGTAAGCACTGATTTAACAAAAAGTTGTGAAACAGCTGTATTGGGAGGATGAGGGAAATGTAAGCAGTATTGATTTAACAAAAAGTTGTAAAAAAAAAATTAGTGAAAGACAAGAGGTAATATCTAATATTGGGGAAAAGGTCAAGAAATAGAAATATAATCATATTATTTAGAAATAAGAAAGCAAATAGCTGGAGTGTGGGACTCAGGGACAGAGTAGATCAGAGGATAATTGGGTTTGTTGTGATAAACCTAGCAGTATAAAAATGTACTGCTCTTATTTTTAAACATATTTATCTAGTAAATTATTTTGATTTTAAAAAGAAATGTTCACGAATGGGCCCTGAAGTGTTATGGTAGGCATTGCAGAGAGGGTGGTGAATAGTAAAAAAAAGTGCGTACACTTATTGCATCTGGCACAGCAGGCACTCAGCAAATAGTGGCTTCCATCCTTTGTCACCTAGGCAGAGTATGTGCTTGCAGTCATATTCAGATGACTCAGACGTTAGGTGGTTGGCTAAACAGCAATGTGAGATCTGTCACAAAGCAAGCTATGTGCCTGCCTAATTTCTTTTTTTTTAATGGATGGTTTTATTGTTCTTGGAACTGAATCAACCTGATGGTTACAGTTTCTTAGAATTTTGACTTTTGTGCAACTGACAAATCACGCAGTTAGTGAGTGATTTAGTTAGCTATGCATAGAACAAATTTTCAAGTACTTAGCAACTTGATACTTACTCTAGTAAACCAGAAAACAATGATATCTATGCCTAGACTATATATTAAAGCCAGAGATGCTTCTCTCTCTTCTGTAATTGTCAGTTAACTGCCTTATTTCTCTGGCCCACAATGCCTAGCCCAACACCTTTGTTCTGTGAGATCTCACTGTGGTGGATGGTTGTGATTAATACTGACAAGAAAGCCAGATAGTGGGGGTTTTTTCATATAGTTGTATGGTTTTGTTTCATATAGTTGGACTACAAATTCTTTATGGACAGAGACCATATATTCAGTCAGATCAATAACTAGGTTAGTGACTGCTATGCATTAGTACCTATGCATTTGTTATGACATATTTACTGAACATGTGGTAGGCACTGTGCTAAGCTCTGAGGATATCTTTATGAACTGGACAGATATCACTCTTGCTGTTACAGAATTTACATTCCAGTAGAAAATGTTTGCAGAATTCTTGTAGACCAGTAAAATAATGGCTCATTCTGAGCCATTTTAGCAGTACAAAGCATTGTATATAAAAATTTTAATAATTTTAAGCTGTGCCTATTGTATGATTTAAGTGCTTTCTAAAAGACAGAATTAGTGGTCTTATTTTTTTTCCTCTTTGCTTTTTTCTTTGTAGATAAGATGCTCCAAGCCATTTGCAGCTCTCTTCAGAAGAAAAGTCACTAATGCTCTGCTCTTGCCATTATACCAAATCTTTCTGACTTATGCTTTGGTGCTGCAACACTGGAAGAATTGCACACAGATTCCAGGAATATCTTTTTTTATTTGAGTGATTCTTTATGGATGGAAAACAATTTGGGTCTTAGTAATTACCCTGTTTTAAAGCTATTTTTCAATAGTCTGAACTGCTTAATAAATTGGGCCACTTACCAATGAGCCACGTGGCCAGTTCTTGTCAAGAGCTGGTTGAAACTTGTGCTGTGCATGTAGCAGGGATGGCACAAGAAGATAGTCGTCGTGGTCAAGTGCCATCTACCTTTTATCATGGTGCCAACCAAGAACTTGACCTGTCCACCAAAGTGTACAAGAGGGAGTCAGGAAGTCCTTATTCTGTGTTAGTGGACACCAAGATGAGCAAACCACATCTCCATGAAACAGAAGAACAGCCATATTTCAGGGAGACAAGATCAGTGTCCGACGTGCATGCTGTTAAGGAAGACCAGGAGAATTCTGACGACACAGAAGAGGAGGAGGAGGAGGAAGTCTCTTATAAAAGGGAGCAGATCATAGTGGAGGTAAACCTTAATAATCAAACATTAAATGTATCTAAAGGGGAAAAGGGTGTCTCTTCTCAGTCCAAAGAGACTCCTGTTCTTAAGACAAGCAGTGAGGATGAAGAGGAAGAGAGTGAGGGAGATGCCACAGATGACAGTAATGACTATGGAGAGAATGAAAAACAGAAAAAAAAAGAGAAGATGGCAGAGAAAGTCAGCGTTGCACAAAGGAGAACAAGAAGAGCCGCCTCTGTTGCTGCAGCTACCACTTCCCCTACTCCCAGAGCTACAAGGGGACGGAGGAAGAGTGTAGAGCCACCTAAGCGTAAGAAGCGGGCCACAAAGGAGCCCAAAGCACCAGTCCAAAAAGCTAAGTGTGAAGAGAAGGAGACTCTAACCTGTGAGAAGTGCCCCAGAGTGTTTAATACTCGCTGGTACCTGGAGAAGCACATGAACGTTACTCATAGGCGCATGCAGATTTGTGATAAATGTGGCAAGAAGTTTGTCCTGGAAAGTGAGCTGTCCCTTCACCAGCAAACAGACTGTGAAAAAAATATTCAGGTAGGTTTCTTCACCAAAAGGGCAAACTTTCCAGGATAGAACCTGACTGTTCAGACTCATCTGGTGTCTGCCCAAGAGTACAGTAGAGGCTGAAGGGACAGAGTTCACCACTTTATTTTTTTCAAAGCTCCTACTTGGGTCTTTTTCAAAGCTGAGTCTTAACATTTTATTTCAAAAACATTAAACTTAGCTGATGCTGGACCTAGTGGGAAGCCAGGTACATTGGAAGGGGGATGTATAGGTAAAGTCAACATCACCTGCACAAGCTGCACTGTTTAGGACTCTTTTAGGACATGTAATAGAAGTCATCCTAGCTCTTCTCTGTCAAGGCAGGGGATATCGAGTGAGTGTCAGGAGTAGAGAAAGGGCCCTTTCTAGGTTTAAAAGGATGTCAGATTCTAGTGCATCTGATGGGGACAAAAGCCAGAATGATTCAGACCGGTGGAAGTGGAAGCTCTCCAGGAGTGAGTTTGCTTTTACCAGTGGACAGATGACAGCACTCAATTGATCACGAGGCTGAGCCCATGGGGATGCGCAAACTTGAAACAAGGCTGAGCTGGTTGGAAATGTTGCCCACCTGGCTGCACTACACTACAATTTGTTAAGGTGACAGAGCATGGTGTTGGAACCAGGCTGGTGTCTTGACTATATTGTAATAGATTAAGACGTATGTGAACTCTTATCATATTGAGTGGATTACAACTATACTGTATTTGTACATGTGAGTGCCTGTTAATGACTATACATCAGAAGTCTAAACTATATAAAATAGAAATATTTTGTGCCATTTTAACCTAAACGTTAAAAAGATGAGATTGTGTGGTTTGTTTTTTTGGTGTGCTCCTAATATTTGCAAGTTTTATTTTCCTTCTCTTGCTTTCTTAATCAACAACTGAGATCATTACTTTACTTTAAAGAGGTGTTTTAAAAAATATAAGTTACATTTGCTGAAAATTCACTGCGTTTTAGTCCATCCCTTGTGACATTACCTCTGACACTTTGGGTAAGTAAAAGAAGACGGAGTTGCGCAGTACTGCACCCTAGAGGTCACACTGAGGTGCTCCAATGATTCATTGTTGAGAAGGCATTCTTGATACTTGACAGCTTTTTAACTAAAATTTGCTTTAAATTATAGAAGACATGTAATAAATCATTTTGTGTGACTTTTATTATTCTTTCTCACCATAATGTATTTAAACTTGTGTTTAGATTTTGTGGATTCTAACTTTGTGTTTTGTGCTTACCTGTTGTTGTGTGCTGAGTCACTTCTAACTTGTAGTGACCTATGGTTAGCAGTCCAGTGCTTATCCTACAGTGCCGTAGTAGGACCCCTGTACTTATCTAGAGACCCTAATAGTTCATGACTTGGTAACAAGTAAAAATGAAATACCTGCCCTACAAAATGGTTTATAGGAGTAGTCTGCCTTATTCTAGAGCAATATCCAAGTTAAGGTTTGCCTTTTTAATTCTTCCCAGGGTTTTTCATTTCCTAAAGTGGCATTGATGTTTAGGGATCTTTATTTACAGGGAATGCTAACTTGTTCCCTTAAGTTCCCAGAGTCTGAAGACTATCAAAAGTTTTCTGGTATTGTTTTACTTTAACCAGAGTATTTTGTTTTGAAGTATTTTATACTCGATATTCCAAGGAGCTCTGGTAGCGTAGTGGTTATGAATAGGGCAGCTAATACCATGGTCAGCAGTTTGAAACTACTGGTGGTTCTGCAAGAGAAAGATAAGGCTTTCTGCTCCCGTAAAGATTGACAGCCTCAGAAACCCTATACAGGGTCATTATGGGTCGGAATAAACTCCATGGCACAACATCATCACCACACCTGATATTCCAGGCTATTAATGACATAAGGAATTAGGCAGCATTGCATGTGTTTCCTGTAGATGAATTTAAGAGAGTTCTAGAACTGGGCTGTAAGGGAAAGAGAGAGTGGAACTAACAACAGTTTAGAGGTCACACTAAATTCCACCAGTGAGGAATTTAATACAGTAAATTAAATTTGGAAAAAATATAGTAAAATCTCAATTAATTTTGCTAATAAAGTCTCCAAATGCTTTCTCTAAGATACAAAAACATTTTATACCCTTATAAAATCTATAACCATTATTATATGCTTTATTAAATTTTGTTTTTATTTCTATGGATTTAAAATTAGTCTGCATTCTCTAATTACCTACTAACTGCATCTTGACCCATGTGTAGGAGGACGCTGCTTTTGGTAATCCATGTTTTAAAAAAAGTAAAGGTTCTTTTAATAGGTGTACTACTAACTGGATAATAGCAGTCAGTCAATTCTCAGATACTAGAAATTTCCATTTCTTCTTTTGTTTTTGCCATTATTTTCATACTCCTAAAGTATCTCTAAAAGACACATCTTGGAAAATAGAACATGTAGCTGTTGGCGTTGGAATCTGGACTCCACGGAGGAATAGCATTTATCTGGATCCTGACTTTGTGCCATTCCATCTGCCAATCGTCAGGTATGGCTTTCTGCAAACCCCTGTCAATAAAGATTGTTTCTATTTATCCTGCCTAGTGTGTTTCCTGTAACAAATCATTCAAGAAACTTTGGTCCCTTCATGAACATATCAAGATTGTCCATGGGTATGCAGAAAAGAAATTTTCCTGTGAAATATGCGAGAAGAAATTCTATACCATGGCTCATGTGCGGAAACACATGGTTGGTAAGTTAGTTAGTTCTGTTTCTTTTCTCTCACATCTATAATTTTCTCTTGTTCTTTGGTGTGCTTCTGATGCCCTGGGTTACTCAGGCTATGAGAAACTGCCTTATATTAATCAGTTTTGACTTGTTGAAACGAAATGTAACATGTCTTCAGTAAGCATCATCAAATTGCATGGTATAGTTCTCCACACCCAGGTTCAATGTTGTTATGTATTTTTCTCTTCAGAACATTACTGTTAAAGCCTCACAAATTAAAGTGTAGAAGATTAAGATGGCATACTTGCTTTATAGTAAACTATTGAACTTTTGTCTTTTGGTGGACTTACGTTAAGTTCATTCTTTGTTGCAGCACACACGAAAGACATGCCATTTACATGTGAAACCTGTGGGAAGTCATTCAAACGCAGTATGTCACTCAAGGTGCACTCTTTGCAGCACTCTGGAGAGAAGCCCTTCAGATGTGAGGTAAGGAATGTGCCTAGGGCGAGCTTTTGTGTTTGTGGTGAAGCAGTAAGTAAGGTACATGGAACAAGACTGCATTTCCACAAAACCTCCAGACTTGGCCTCAGAATTTGTGTATTGTTTTACTGCTAAGTAGAAAGATGTCATTTTTAATGCTGTTAGCTCTCTTAGATAGGTTATATTTGAAAATAGTACATACTGAGTTATTTTTCTTTCCTCAACAATTCAGAGAAGTGAGTATATACCGTGATAATTAGATGAGAAAATTTCCTGTACTAATAATTAAATTGCTTAGTAAGAGCAGAGTCAAGTAGTTGATACAAACAAAGTCTATTTTGAGTATGAAAAACAAACTTAATCTCAAAGATTATGTTAGGGTGGGCTCAAGTTAAGCTGCTATACTTGGTATTCAGAAATCTCCGCTGTGTCCAATACAGAACTGTGACGAGAGGTTTCAGTACAAGTACCAGCTACGCTCCCACATGAGCATCCACATCGGGCACAAACAGTTCATGTGCCAGTGGTGTGGCAAGGATTTCAACATGAAGCAGTACTTCGATGAGCACATGAAAACACACACTGGTAAGAGTCCCTTGGGAAAAGTACACATGTGTCTCAAGCACAAATGGCCATCTGTGGGTATGTTTATGTAAAACAAAATTTGCATTTTAAGTGAAACTTGAAATGAATCTGATAGATAAAAAAATAGATATATAGTACTGAGAAATCATGCTCTCATAAATCTTTATTTAGTTCAAAAAAGGATTATTTGTGTGTGCCTTTATATTAATGGTTTCTTTACCGGGGTCCAAGAACTCCTGAGATGATATGAAAATTGTTTTCTCTTTGTGCATATGTTATATATCTAAGGAAAGAGCCTCTCAGATAATCCTGACTTTAAGAATATAGAGGGCACTGCCTGTTTTTAAATAGAATAGTCTTAAAGTTTCACTGGATGTGATTTACTAGAATTGACTACTTTTCAGGAAGGTTAAATGATATTTTAACACTCTGTATTTTTATGGGTATGTTCTCTGTAGCATGGATATGAATCTTAATTATCTGATTATCCAGTTTCCAAAAAATTGGCTAAAATAATCACTCCCGCTCTAAACTCTATCATTGTATCTCAGTCTTAACTTTGACATTTTGGGATTAGCAGTGTTTGTATAAATTGAGCAGCATGAAAACTTGTGTCAGGTTTCTAAAAATAATTCTAACCATGGCTTCTAGGTTCTATTGGTTTGCGTAGTAGCAGAACTAGTAGAACCACAGAAGATTATCTTGCTTAGCCTGTTGTTCTTATTGCCTAAATGGGTAAGGAAACTCTGCCCAAGACAGGAGCTCAGAGTTCCCATTTCTCTGTTGAAGTCTGAAGAGAAATACCTGCCTCAAGGGTTTCTTATTCAGATCAGAGTCTGCTCAGGTTTTTAAGGATTAGGTAAATGAGGAATCTTGAGAGATGCTCCATTAGTTAAGCTAAATCTCAAAAGGTAATGAGGTTTTTTAAAGTTTTTATTGTGAACTGAGTGGTAGTTTACATGGGAGAACATTGGCTTTACATGATCAATTTCATTGCAGTGATTACAATCTCCTCTGTGCATCATCATTCAAAAGTATTTGCTTCCATTCCCTCTGGGTTATTTTACTTTTTGTGGGGGGCAGGGGCTGTTTACAAAAACACTTGGGAATATATAACAATTTAAACAACAAAAGGGCACATTCTACAAGCCTGCCTCCTGGCCACCAGCACCCAGACCCTTTCTATTCCATGAGTCCAGAGTCCTCAGCTGCTCCCTCTCTCCATGTCCTCATCTCTGCCTCCATCTCTGGTGTTGATGCTTCTCTGGATAGGGTCCTGCATTCTGCTTGTGCTCTTCTCCCTTGTTAGTCCTAGGTCCTCTGTTTCTGGACTGTAAGATTAGCTAGTCCCCCATTTTTGTTGAAAAACTTCGACCTTTACAGTTGTGACAGTTATAATTAGTTATGATAACATTTACTCACTATTGAATCATAAGAATCTTATCCACATCTCTTTTCACCAGACCTCTCTAGACAAGATGAAAACTATTCAGTAGGGATTCTACCTTTCCCTGTACACTCTGAAACTAAACTCCCTCTTGAAAACTTGTAAGCCAGTCACTTCATGTCTTTACCGTCCCCTCATTTTAGGTAGCCAATGTCTAAGTTGCCCGTCCCTATCTACCCTGTATGTAGAAGGGATAGGATTGATATTCAATGTGAAGAATGAGGTATTTTTTTAAGATTTTTTAAAATTAATGTTTTTTTTAAGTAATGGCTCTTGATCATATGTTTCCTCTTGAAACGGTTGAGCATCAATCATTTCTTTTTGGTATAGTGACTCTGTATATTCCTTCCATCTTTTAATGTTTTCTGCATCATTCAAATTTTTGCCCATAGATCCTTCAGTATTGCAAGTGAAAGCTTGTATTTTTCTTCAGTTCCTTCAGCTTGAAATGCTGAGCACGTTTTTCTTTCTTGTCTTTTTAATGACCTTTGCTTTCTTCCTGTAAGATGTTCTCGATGTCATCCCACAACTCTTTTGGGTCTTCAGTCATTAGTGTTTAATCATCTCTTCATATGACAATTTCTAAATTCCAGTGGGTTATATCCAAGGTCATATTTTGGATTTCATGGATTTGTTTTAATTCTCTGTAGCTTCATCCTGAACTTGCATATGAACAATTGATGGTCTGTTGCACAGTCTGCCCCTGGCCTTGTTTTGGCTGATGATCTGGAGCTTTTCCATCATATCTTCCCACAGATGTAGTGAATTTGATTTCTATGTATTCTATCTGGTGAGATCTAGTGTACTGTTATCTTTTATGTTGTTTAAAAAAGGTATTTACAATGAAGAAGTCATTGGTCTTACAAAATTCTACCATGCCATCTCCAGCATTATTACTGTCACCAAGGCCGTATTTTCCAACTACTGGTCTTTGCTCTTTCTTTCCAAACTTTGCAGTCCAGTCACCAGTAATTATCAATACATCTTGATTGCATTTTGATCGATTTCAGACTGAAGAAGTTGGTAAAATTTTTTAATTTCATCTTCACTGGTTTTAGTGGTTAGTGCATAAATTTGAATAATATTGCTATTAACTGGTCTTCCTTGTAGATGTGTGGATATTATCCTGTCAGAGACAGCATTATACTTCAAGATAGATCTTAACTTTTTTTTTTTTTTTTGATGATAAATGTGATGCCATTCCTCTTCAATTTGTCATTCCTGACATAGTAAACCATGTGGTTGTCAGATTTCAAAGTGACCAATACCAGTCCATTTCAATTCACCAATGCCTATGATATTTATCTTTATGTGTTCCATTTCATTTTTGACAACTTCCAATTTTCCTAGATTCATACTTCGTACATTTTAAGTTCTGATTGTTAATGGATGTTTACAGCTGTTTTTCTCATTTTGAGTTTGCCTCATCAGCAAATTAAGGTCCCAAAAGCTTTATTCCATTTGCGTCTTTACAGTCAACTCAACAGCTCTTCCCCAGTCATATTCTGAGTGCTTTCCAACCTGAGGGGCTCATCTTCTGGCTCTATATCTGACAGTGTTCTGCTATTATTCGTAGGTTTTCAGTGGTTAAACATTCAAAAGTAGTCTGCCTTTCCTTTGTCCTAGTCTATTCTAGTCTGGAAGCTCAGCTAAAGTCTGTCCCCCATACATGACCCTGTTGGTATTTAAAATGCCGGTGGCATAGCTTCTAGCATCACAGCAACATGCAAGCCATTCACAGACAAAAGGTGGGTAGCGCAGGTAGTGATTTAATAATAGAAATCAGAAAGAGATCGAGGGCTTGTGGTTTCAGAGTCCTGGTAGTGCAGTGGTTAAGCACTCGACTTGTAAACAAAGGGTCAGTGGTTGAACCCACCCAGCAGCTCTACAGGAGCAAAGACCTGGTGACCTGTTCCTGTAAAGGTTGGCTACTGTTGGTGTGTGCTTTCTAATGGACCCTGACTCCTAGTAACACTGTCTGACAGGGGAGAACTGGGCTCCATAGGGTTCCTGACTCGAATCTTGTTGGGAGTAGTGTTTTCCATTTCAAAACACAAAAAGTAAACTTCATGCTAAGGATTACGTATGAGTAGACATGAGGAGATTGATGTGCTCCACAGAACATTTCCAACAAAGTCTTACTTACTTTTTGTTGGAATATCAGTAATTACTTATATCTGTGACGTTAGTTACAGGAAAGTCATTTGAACAACTATTTGTGTAGGATGTTGTCTAGTGCTACTATAACAGAAATACCACATGTGGGGGCTTTAACAAATAGAAATGGATTCTCTCACAGGTTAGGAGGCTTGAAGTCCAAGTTCAGAGTGCAGACTCTAGGGGAAGGCGTTCTTTTTTTTCTCTCCTCTGGAAAAAAGTCCTTGTATTCTTTCAGCATCTGTAGACCCAGCACTCCTTGGAAATATTTACATCAGTCTTTCCTTAGATCTAGGTGCTTCACAGGGCAGGGACCCCAGGTCCAAAGGACATTTTCCATGCCTGACTCTTCTTTCTTGGTAGTAGTAGGTCCCTCTGAGCTCTGTTTGTTTAATTTCTAATTTATATCTCAATCTCTTAAATATCTCAAAAGAGATTGACTCAGATATAACCTAATCCTGTAGATTGCATTGTTGTTGCTGTTAAGTGCGGTTGAATTAGTTCCAACTCATAGTGACCCTGTGTAGAGTTTCCAAGTCTATAAATATGTGTGGGAGCAGGAAACCTTATCTTTCTTCCATGGAGCAATTGGTGGGCTCAAACCACTGCCCATCTGGTTCACAGTCTAGTGTTTATTGTACAGAGTTGCTGTGCTCCTGTAGATTGCATTGTTGTTGTTGTTAAGTGCCGTCATTAATATCACAGAAGTGAGAATATTTAATACATAGGATAATTACATCAGACAAAGGCTGATCACATGAAATCAAAGCTCAGAAGGATCTATTATCACCAAGAAAGAAGAGCCAGGAGTAGAATTTGTCCTTTGGATCCAGGGTTCCTACATTATGAAGCTCAGAAAGTGATTGATTACATTAGATTAGATCTCATCAAGGAGGATTACTGTGTCTTAACTGCCAAACCACTGAGCAATCAAATTGTCACAAAACCTAACTTATCACATTACACCCCTTGGTAAGTGTACATATCTCCTTAAACCATAGATCATCTGCAAATAAAGTCATTATAAATTCATGCTTGTTCCTAACAAAATACAGGGAACACACGTGCAACTGAAAATGCACTAACCCCCACTACATTATCCCAAAGTTCTTCCAAGTCCATATTCCAACCTGGGACAAAATTTGTCTTCATTTGTGAATCTAGAATGCAAGTTACCTGCTTCCAAAAGCAATAGTGGAACAGGCACACGGTAGACATTTCCATCACAAAAGGGATAACAAACACCAAGCAAGTTAAAAATACAGCAGAATAATTTACTACATGAGCTCTCAAGGCTTGAAAATAATTCTCTGTGACTATCTGAGACTATCCATGCAATGGCTGTGCCTCCAGACTCTGGGTATTGGCCATGCACTCTAGATTCTAGGTAGAGGCCCTTCAACCAGGGGTTCAACTCTTGTCTTCCAGATCTGCCAGAATGGGAGCTCTGCTCCGTCTGCCCTAGGTGGCCCCAATTCTCCTAATCTGTCTTGAGTGGTGACCTCACCACTTTGGTTACAGCAGATCCTGTTCTCTTGCCCCCTAGTCTGTCTGAGTGGTGACCTCAGCCCCTTGGTTACAGCATTGGGCAGAGAACCCATCCTAACAGTTTGGTGAAGGAAATCCAATTTTGCGAAGTTTAGGAAACTGTGCCCCCACCCTTACGAGCCCTAGAAGTTCCATCCTTTAAGAACCCAGAAGTCGTGGCTCTTCATTTTAAAACGGAGGCAGCTTTGCTTGCCATGCTCCTTGTCTCTTCAGCTGCTTCCTGGTTCCTTGATCTCTAGAAGAGGTCAGCCTGATCTCTGCTCTGATTGAGCAAGTGTTACAACACTTTGTAGCTCTACTGGTAAGGACTCAGAGGCATGCCACCCCACTAGTAAGCCTTGGCCTAAAGACTGTCTTGCTGCATGGGTCAGAGAGCCTAACTTCACCAACACGTGCCCAGAAGCACTCCATTCTGCCAGGAAGCTTCCTGAACAAAGGTGTTCCACAGTAACCATGGGTTGGTTACTGTGCTATCTTCTATCTGTCTCCTGGTTCTGCTGATGCAGTTTCTCTGCCACTTCTTCTCACTGTCTGTGCTATCTCCAGAGTTACAGTTCTCACTTCCTTCTGAACCCTCATCAGAATTGCCTTTGACACGATATGTCTAACCCCCGTCTCTTCTAGGTCATCTAGGCAGCATAGTACCCTTCTAGTCTCTGCTCATTATTCAGCTTTCAAACTGCTGCCATCGTTAGTATCTGTTAGCACAACACAGTTATCTAGTGCTACTGTAATAGAAATATACCACAAGTGGATGGCTTTGACAAGCACATTTATTCTCTTAAAGTTTAGGAAATTAGAAGTCCAAATTCAGAGCACTGGGTCTAGGAGAAACTTTCTCTCTTGTTGGCTCTGTCAGCATCTGTAGGCCCACCATTTCTCTGAGGTCTTCATGTATCTTGGCATCAGTCTTTCCTTGGATCTAGGAGCTTCATAGTACAAGAAACCTAGGTGCAAAAGTACATTCCTGCTCTTCTCTCTTGGTGGTAGTAGGTCCCTCTGAGCTCTGCTTGCTTGTTTTATCTTGCTTGCTCTTTATATTCAAAAGATTGACTCAAGGTAAATCCTAAACTTAAAGGTTGCATTAAATCTTATAAACATCACAGAACTGAGGGTTTACAACATATCTGATAATTACATACCATCAGGGCTGGGCACATCAGATCACTTCATGGGGAAAGTGATCACATTACATCAGATCTCATTATGTGGGGTTACTGCATCTTAATTGCCAAATCACTGAGGATCCAGACCCAGCCAATCTGACACCAAACCTTAACCTTCACAGATACACTACTAGTAGATACTGCCTTTTTTCTCTCAATCCAAATCCAGATGATACGTTGTATATAAGTTTCACTCACATATGCTCTGATTTAATAAGCCTCAAATTTTGGAGACTCCTTTAGGACTCAGAATATTATCTGCACTAAGGTAGAGGAGTGGTACTCTCCTTTTTGAATGAGGAATAGCATGATCCCAATACCATGAATGAGCCCATAACTGTCTGGCATGTTAATCATTTTTTGTGTGTGTCTCTGTTTCTCTCAGGAGAGAAACCCTTTATCTGTGAAATCTGTGGCAAAAGCTTCACCAGCCGCCCCAACATGAAGAGGCACCGCAGAACTCACACAGGCGAGAAGCCCTATCCATGTGATGTGTGTGGGCAACGGTTTCGCTTCTCCAACATGCTGAAGGCCCACAAGGAGAAGTGCTTTCGGGTGACCAGCCCTGTGAATGTGCCGCCTGCTGTCCAGATCCCACTCACAACTTCCCCAGCCACTCCCGTTCCTTCTGTGGTGAATACCCCCACGACCCCAACCCCTCCAATCAATATGAATCCTGTAAGCACTCTTCCCCCCCGGCCTATCCCCCACCCTTTCTCACACCTTCACATCCACCCCCACCCTCACCACCCCCACCACCTACCTATTCCTCCAGTCCCTCACCTCCCACCACCTCCAGCTCTCTTCAAGAGCGAGCCTTTAAATCATAGAGGCCAGAGTGAGGAGAACTTTCTGCGGCACCTGGCGGAGAAGAACAGTTCAGCACAGCACCATTAACACCTGTCTCCTTACGAGTGTTCTCCAGGAATTAGGCTCCCAGATGTGAGTTTGCGGGGAGGGAGACTCTCCTCAACCCCACCAAGAGCTTTGTCATTGTCTTGGTGAGTCCATAGATCCCAGGGAATGAACAAGAGAACTGACTACTTGAGCTCACGGGGGAACTGTCTTCTAAACCAGGGGAACCACCCAACTAAAGCCCAATTGCTTGCATTTTCTGGTGACTTTTATAAATTTCAAATACTCAGACTTAATGGAATTTTATAATTTCATATCAGCTGATGAGGTATGCTTGCTTTTATATCCTGGACTTCTCCTCAAAGAGGGGGTAGGCCTGGTTTCCTTTGTACTAATCGGGAAGGCTGTGAGATTAATCCAGAGCATTAATTGTATCACTGTGTATCGTAATGAATTATTTTCAGCTTTTGGTGCTGGCTACAGTGTTGAGCTGGCCACGTATCACAGTATATCAAGCATTATAGAGAAAGACGGACATTTTCTTCTTTGTGTAGCTCTCCTAATGCACTCTTTATTTTACTACAGAAATTATTTTAGAGTTTTTGTATAGACTTCTTTAGTAGTCTGTTTCTAAAATGAAATGTATTTCAATAAGCGGTGTAATTTTTTCAGTGTAGCTGAACCTATGTTGTAAAATAGAAAAATTTTTATAATCATCAAAATGTGATTCTTAAAGATGCATATATAACTTCTATAGTTCAAAGTTATTCTTACATCCGTACAACTCAAAGGTGCTTCAGAGACTAGATGTATCTCAGAGAGTCTCCAGACCAGGTTACTACAAAAACGAGGTTTTGCTTTCAGAACTTAGCATAAGTTCTTGGTAGTTTTGATTCTATACTTCACACTCACCTGTCTCTCAGGCTCACTGATGTGCCCCTGTTCTCCATGCCCCGTTCAGTTCAGTGTATGCATTAAATGCCGGTATCTGCAGAGGGTTGGGCCTTGTCACCTAAGGGCTTGTGAGGTTTGAAAATCGGAGTAAAGCTGCTTCACCATCAGGAGGAAGTGGTGGAGATTGATCAGTTCAGTCCTGTCTGTTGCTCACTTCCTTCAGGAACTGTGCTCTAGTTTAACTTTGACGGGATGACAAATTAGGGCTCATTTAATATGCTGCCCATTCTGAAGTAGCTTCATTTTTTAAAACTGTTAAAATAAGATAGTAAATGAAAATCACAAACAACGTGTTGTTGCTGATTAGTGGCTGAAGAGAAATTGGGTGAGCATACAAATTGGACACGAGTTTTAAAATATCAGTTATATCTCTGGGCATGCTCACAACGTGGAGCTACATACTAACACACTTTACATTTTAGTGACGGAAAACACCTAAGTTTCACTGCCCTGTCCTCTGCAAATAATTATGTGATGCCATTGCTCATAACTCAGACCGAGAGCAGCCCCTCCAATATGAGTATATTTATGCAGGTGAATTTTTCAAGTTTGGGGAACTTTGGAAGAGAATGGTTGATTTAGGAAAAGCTGATAGAAGGATTTATATGCTGGTTATATTTAACTAATCAAATTTATCCAGACCTGATTCAAGACTGCTAATAATTTTGTATTTCATTATCTCAGCTGAGTTCCAAGGCTAGGTCTGTTTTCTGTCCCTTTTCTTTTTGATCTTCAGATTCTTTCATTTCTCTTTTTTCCCCCAGGCTCTTAGATCACTGCCGGAATCTGAATCCTGGGCTTTATTTATTTGTGTTTTAATTTTTACTGTTAAATGTGCAGATATGCCTCAAGCACTTTTCTGGCTGACTAGTTCTGTAATTAGAAAGAAAATGAAACTCTGTCCATTTACATGATGTCACTATTTAACAAATATTACATTCTCTATTAGCAGTTTGGTTTAATATTCCCAGTTGTTTTCCTATGGTTATTGCCTTTGTCTTTTATAATGAGCATAGGAAAATTTTGGAATGAGGCAGGAAAGTACCTCAGACATACTTTTCTTCCTATTTTGGATGTCAGTTTTAAGGAATGTTATTTTTAATATTTGGTATACTTGGATATATCAGGTCCCCAAGCCAGCAAGGAAAGTTAATTCCTTGGTTAGGACTGTTAGACCATTAGTGGCTGCTGTCCCTTTCCCCACAACCACCTTTACACGTTCCATAACAGGTTTGTGAATCTACATTTTTATGTAGACATATCACTATTTTTCACGGTCAAGTCTGTTATTTTTAAATGATTTGGGTGGAAAAAGATGTAAATGATAGTAGCTTAGTTTAATTGGTTGTACCTTATTTTGTTCTAAATAAATTTGCAGTATTAGGCAGCAATTCTAGACTTGAGACCAATGAATCAACCATTTAAAGAGGTGTACTATAATTAATTATACACTGGAAAATTCAGGTAGTCGTCCTTGATTTTTGCATTCAAGTGAATATAGCCATAAGAAAATATCTGCTACATAGGAAAACAAAAGTATTAAGTAAATAATCACCACCATCCTTAACAGAAGCAAAAAGATTGAAAAAAAGAGTCAGCATTGTCACTCACACAGTGTCATTCTTAATGAAATGTTTTGTGAAACAGTCTGGTAAATATCTGGTTGTTTTCCCCCGACATAGGACTTGTGGTCTTCATAAAAACTCAGAACGTAATGACTCCTTATCAGTGTCGTATTAATATGAATAATGAAACACATTAAAATATTCATGACATTAATGCTTCTGAATATAAGAACTGCAGGATTAAGCCTTAAACAAATACATTGTCAGGTTTAATATGCTCAAAACTCAAACTCAGGGTTGAAAACTGGGCTGGGGTCCTTCACTAAGATACTATTTGCATTGTCTAGTATATCCCTTCCCATTTAGGCTACCACACCCTGTGAGTTCTTCAGAACCTATTCCCTACTTGCTGTCTGTCTGTGAATAAAAGAACTAAGGAGGAATTTGAGTTCTCACAGCCTTTATCTGTACTTCTGTCTTTCAAAAGACAACAAAGGCCACATTTCTGCATTATATTTATATCAATTGAGGCTGTCTCTCATTACTTAATTTTACTGTCTTCAAAGGTTTGTGTCATTGCTAGGAGAAAATCCTATTTGAGGAAAATTCACAAGGATTTTAAGTTGACATTACATTTTTGTGTCTTTGCATTTCTTTATTCTTTTTGCAAAGATTTATCACCCAGATAGAAACTCTCTGTAGCCTTCATTCTCAAATTGTGTCAGGTAGGCATATACTGAGTTTGATTTTGACATTTGAATAAAGAAAAGAAGATGGACGGATTAAATGCATGTGGCTTCATTTAACAGTCGTTCAAAGGAAGTTTTACAAATCACTTTACTTATGTTTTTATAGTCTACCATTTGCATGAACTGTTGTAAATTAATAACTGAGCATAGACATTATCATAGTTGCACCATCCTATTAAAGCTAACTTTGTTAGAAGTAACTTGCATTGTGGTAGGGCTCTCCCTATAATTTGGCTGTCCCTTGGTATACAAAATGAAGGCAAAATGCTCTGAAAAGGTATTTGTGAACTTTGCATTTCCTGCTTGTGAAAGTTCAGTTTGTTGACAGGATATGTGTGTTTCATTTTATTTTTATTTTACTGGCAGTTTAACTTTTAAGAAAATGAAACAGAGATAGAAATCACTTGAAAATGTTTATATATTTATCCCATCTTGCAGATTTCAGTTAGTAAAACACAGGATAGATGGGTTTGGAGAAAAAAAAAAAAAAGACTAAAGTTGAGAAGCCCTTCTGTCTGAGCTGTTGTAGGGAAAAGCCTGCCGTGAGGGCATTGCTGATCCACGAGGTGAGGATGGGGGGCATTTAATGAAAAGGGGGATATGTTAACATATACAAATTTCACCAGCGCTCTACTATTAGAAAATCAATTTACTTTAATTCTTCAGATTATAAAATCAAGCAAGTAAATAATTCGATTTTAATTTTCCCTTGCCTAAGCCAAGATAAAGGAGCTCTGGTAGCGTGGTGGTTACGAACCGGACTGCGAACCACAAGGTCAGCAGTTCGAAACTATCAGCTGTTCCGCGGGAGAAAGATGAGGCATTCTGTTCCCGTAAAGATTGACAGCCTCAGAAACCCTGTACAGGGTCGCTATGAGTCGGAACCGACTCCACGGCACATAACAACAACAAGCCAAGATAGGAAATTTCTCAAGTGATCATTTTGTCAGGAATGAAAGGTCATAAGCCCTTAGAGATAATGGCATTATTATGCAATAACAACTCCCTAACTAGCCTGCTTCTGTTATCTGTAGCATTTGTAATAAATCATAATGACCTTTCAACCCTGAACACTACCTCGAAAAAGCAAACCAGAGATCCTCTTTACACTTTCTATGGAAGCCATAATTAAAAGTTGCCATCAGTATATCCACTTTACAGTTCAATACTTTTATACTCTCCGAACTTTTTATAGACTTGTCTAATCTAATCTTTTTGTCTTCGAGGATAGGTTTTGCAAGATTCAAAGGAAAATCAAACTCCTTGATTGTCCCAACTTGAAAGATAACATACTATTTGTCAGATTCTCCATAAGTCAAAGCTATTTTGCAGAGTTGCATATCAGGAAAACAAACTTCTCTTTGATGTTTGCTAACTAGAAGCTACACAGTTGTAAGAAACTGCTTAAAAAGTGGATTTCTACCTTGTTACTCTATGTATTACTCAGTAATATATGTATTGCTACACCCTTCCCTGGAGTTGTGTTTATTTCTCTATGACAGATATGTGAGTGTAGCCCTCTCTAACTCTCGATTTTCTCACTGCAGCTTCGGTCTCTCTCACTCTCTTCTTGAGTGCCTTCAGAAAACCAGCATCCTGGAACATTCTTTTCCTGGTCTAAATCCTACCTCTGATTATTTCATTCTCCATGAGTATTGAAATTCACCCTTTTCCAATTGGTTTAGCTCTACAAACTAGCTATATAAAGTCTTGGATGATCATGTTGAACATATTTCTGTTTTGGAATATGTCCCCCCTGTCACTTAAATTACATTTGCTCACCTGTCAAATCTCTAATGATGAAAGATTTTGTCCTTATCTTACTCCTCTGTACTTTCT